GGGGCCCCGGCCACCCTCCGTCCCCGCCGCCCGCGCGCGCTCTCGGGGGCGCCGGGCACTCCGGGGTCCCCTGCCCCGCGCCCCCTCCTCCTCCTCCTCCGGGCAGCCCCCCGCCTCCAGCCTCGCCCCCCACCCCCATATTGTCCATCCAGCTCGGCGGCGCGGGGGGCTTCCCGGATCGCCAGGATGTACCCCCAGGGAAGGCACCCGGTGAGTGGGGGTCCAGGCTGCGGGGCGGGGGCGGGGGTCCGGGGCGTCCCAGAGCTCAGACCCCGGCGACCCCCCCAGACCCCGCTTCAGTCCGGCCAGCCCTTCAAGTTCTCGATCCTGGAGATCTGCGACCGCATCAAGGAGGAATTCCAGTTTCTTCAGGCTCAGTACCACAGGTGAGGGGGGCCCGCCCCAGGGGACCCCGGAGTCCACCTGGGAGCCCCCCGGGAGAGGGCGGGGCCCGCAGGGGAGGGGGCGGGGCCAGCGGGGGCGGGGCCTCCAGGGTGCCGGAGGAGGGGGGCCCCCCCGGGGACGAGGGGAGGGAGGGCTTCCAGGTGGAGGCGCAGGTGAGCTTGGAGGGGGTCACTTGGCACTGGGACACTTAGAGCCTGCGAAGGGGTGGGAGGGACTGCGACCAGGAGGTGGGGGTGCGTGTGTGAAAAAGTGGGGAGGGGGAGAGCCAAACCCATCAGTTTGGAAACGGGCCCAGAAGGGGCGTCCGTGGGACTCCAGCTGGGGGGCAGGGGTAATGGGCTCCCAGCATCCTGTCTCCTTCCCAGCCTCAAGCTGGAATGTGAGAAGTTAGCCAGTGAGAAGACGGAAATGCAGCGACATTATGTCATGGTGAGGGGGGTGATGGTGCTGGGTGGGGGGAGTGGGGAGGGCTGGGCTGTGAGTGAAACACTGGGGTGTGACGCCGGCCTCACTGTGCCTCTGCGGGGTAAGTCCCTGCCCCTCTCTGGGCCTCGCTTTTCCTGTCTGTGAAGTGGGCTGGTTGGGATTCCAGGCTGTGTCTCCCAGGGTCCTCCGGGCTCTTCAGAACAGGGAGGCAAGGATGTCCCCGCTCCACGGGCATCTCGGCGGGGCCAGGGCCACTGGACACCAGTGACCTGCCCCACCTCCCTGGAGAGAGTGGAGGGGGGCCCTGCATCGTCCTCTGGGCTTCCTCTCCGGGGTCCCACGGGGCTGGGAAGCTGCGGGTCCAGCCGGGGGGCTGTTGGAAGAGCCAGCGTCCCCCAGCGCAGGACTGGACGCGTCGGCCCGTGGCCCCGGCTGGCTTTCTCTTGCAGTACTACGAGATGTCCTACGGACTCAACGTTGAGATGCACAAGCAGGTAGGTGGGTGGGGGGTGAGGGTGTTCAGGAGGGAGCATGGGGGTCTGGAGGCTGTGACAGGGCCCCAGCGCTCGGGCGGTCTGCAGCAAAGCAAATCCAGGGCACAGGGGTCTTATCCTGAAATCTGTGGGACCAGGGGGTCAGATTCCAGCCTCGTGAAAGGAAAAAGCGTCTGAGCTTCTGGAGACTTTGTCCAGCCGCGAGGCGAGCGGGGGGCAGGGGCCCACCAAGGAGGGCTCGTAGCCGAGGCCGGCAGCCGGGTCTGGGAGGCTGTGGGGATGCCCTCTGTCCCGGGAGGGGGCCGGCCGGACAGTCTGGGGGGCCCCTTTCAGCCCGGAGAGTCTGACCTTTGGATCCTGAGGGTCTGAGATGGACCCCGAGGTCCTGGGACTGTTTTGAAGGTTCTGAGATTGACCCTAAGGCTCTGAGGCTCTGAGACCCTCCTAAGCTTGTGAGTGTGGCGTCGAGGTTCTGAGATAGACCCAGAGGTTCTGAGATAGACCCGAAGCTTCTGAACTTGAGTCTGGTTGTCCCGGATTAATCCTGAGGTCCTGAGACTGACCTCTGAGGGCTTCTAATGGGATGAAAGGGGCCCCGAGATTCAGAATATCAGAATCAATGAGTAGAGCCTGGTGTCCGGGCTTCCTGGTGAGTGGGAAGAGGAGAGGAGTGGGCTGGGAGTGGGGGGTACCTGGGGGTGCCCGCCCCGGGCATGCTTTCCGGGTATGTGTGGGCTCCACCGGTTCTGGTGTGGGCCGGAGGGGGCTGTTGGCCTCGAGCGTGCCGTGGTCCCCTGGGTGCGTGAAATAGACCTCCTTATGGGGTGGAGGGTGTGGGGTGGGGCCTGGTTCCTCCCTCCTGGTGGGAACACAGACGCCACCCAGATGCACCCAGCACCCCGGTAATTCAGGCTGACTGTGCACAGCTGGATATGCCTCCCCACCCGCACAGCCTCCCCTCTGCTCAGCTCTGTGGGACACCCCCCACCTGGACCCTGTCCCGGATGAAACCTACAAGTAAAACCACCCCGTTTCTCCTCTACTCTCTATCCTTCTGATGCCAAACGTGTGGCTTTTCCCCACACCAACCAATTCTCCAACTCCGACCCCAGCGGGGTGTCCCACGGTTCAGCTCGATTCTGACACACGACCCGGAGTTGGCGCAGACCCCACAGGTCCGGGGCTCGGCCGCACAGGACGGCCCCGCTTCCGACGCCGGTCCCAAGTCCGGGCCTCGTGTCCTTCTGACCAACTGGCTATAAATCCTGGTTCCCACGACCCGCTCTTCGGGTTTGATAATTTGCTAGAACAGCTTATAGAACTCAGGAAAGTTCTTGTTTACTATCACCCATTTATGGTAAGGTCTATAACTTAGGAACAGCCAGATGGAGGAGATGCTCAGGGCAGGGTGTGGGGAAGGGGCTCGGAGCTTCCGTGCCCTCCCTGGGCACCACCCTCCCGGCACCTCCCGTGTTCACCCACCCGGAAGGATTTTTTTAATGGAGGCTTCATTGCGTTGGCACGATTGATTAAATCATTAGCCATTGGTGGTTAACTCAATCCCCAGCCCCTCTCCCCTCCCGGAGGTGGAAGGCTGGGGCTGAGAGCTCCAGCCCTCTGATGAACTCAGGTGTGGGGGAAAGGGGGGCTTATTACAAATAGCAAAAGACGCTCCTCTTAGCCCATCACTCAGGAACCCCAGGGGTTTCAGGAGCTCTGTGCCAGGAACTGGGGACAGAGACCAAGTACATGTTTCTCATATCACAACATCACAAACCTTCTGCAGTGTGGCGCCCGGGCATGTCACCTGGCTGCAGGTAGAGACCGCAGGCCAGACCCAGAGAGGGACATGGGCCCAGCCAGGGCTCGAGCCCCCAGGACCCCGGCGGAGGCCCCTCGCCTGGTTTATGATGAACTTGAAGCTTCCCCGTGTCCCGGTCCGGCTGGGCCTCCGCTCTCTGGGACTCTGTCGGGCGTGTCTGGCGGGTGGCATACCTGCCCTGGGCATCCGCCGGGCATGCAGCCTCCTCGCCAGGCCCTCCATCTCTCCCTGAGCCCGTGCCTCGCTGGCTCAGTGCCCGCTTTGCGCCTGCGGGTGACAGCCCCCCACCCCGAGTTTTGCAGAGGCTCGTTATGCCCGGGAGTCGGGGGGCTGCGTTGAGAGGCCCCCCTCCAAGCTCCCTCCGATTGCCTCCCGCCAGGCCGAGATCGTGAAGCGCCTCAGTGGGATCTGTGCTCAGATCATCCCCTTCCTGACCCAGGAGGTGAGTGGGCCTGGTGGGGGCGGCAGGGGAGCTGGCGGAAGATGGGGGTGTGGTATGGTGGGAAGCTGCAGGCACCGGTCTGGGGGGGAGGACCAGCTGGGGCAGGGGCCGCAGGGATGGAGGGTTCCCTGAGGGTGAGGAGTCGGGGCTCAAAGCCAGCAGCCGGGCTGCCTGGGTCCAAACCCTGGCTGTGTGGCCTTGGGCAAGCTGCCTGCCCTCTCTGTGCCTCTGTCGTCATGTTTAGACGAGCTAATACATACAAAGTGCCGAGGATGATGCCGGGTGCTTAGTAAACACCCGATAAAAGTTAGACCTTACATGATGCTGAGTGACATGAGCCAGACACAGAAGGACAGACACTGTGTGATCCCCTCACAGGAGGCCCCTAGAGGAGTCACATCCCCAGAGACAGAAAGTGGATGGTGGGGCCAGGGGCTGGGGGAGGGGAGGGGGAGTCAGTGTTTCATGGGGACAGAGTCTCAGTTTGGGAGGATGAGAAGGTTCTGGAGATGGATGGAGGGGATGGGTGCACAACAGTGTGAATGTGCTTCATGCCGCTGAGCTGTGCACTTAATGGTTAAAAGAGTAACTCTTATGTTTGTAACCACAAGAATAAAAAAAGATGGAACTAGAGCAGATAAAAGCAATAAACAGTGTGAGCACTTTATTGAAACTTAGAAAAACAACATAGCCCTCGTGAGAATGCCCCAAGAGTCTTCCAGCCTCAGGACCTTTGCATCTGCTGAGAGTGGGCACAAGGTGGTCCAGGGTGAGGAGGGCAAAAACCGCAAGAAACGAGGGTCAGAAGACCCTTGGGGGGGGTGAATGCAGACACACACGTGCCCCGGTGACTCCCCTCCTGTCCCCCCAGCATCAGCAGCAGGTGCTCCAGGCCGTGGAACGTGCCAAGCAGGTGACCGTGGGGGAGCTGAACAGCCTCATCGGGGTGAGTCAACCTGGCCCTGCTGTGGGGGGACCCCACCCCCAGGTCCCTGCACCCAGTCGGTGCTAAAGCCGGGGTAGTGGGTGGGCAGCTGGCCTGGGCTCTCGAGACCCCGGGACGCCCCCTCTGCCCGTCCCCGTCCCCCGGCCCACCGCTCCTCGTCTCCAGCAGCAGCAGCTCCAGCCGCTGTCCCACCACGCCCCCCCTGTACCCCTCACCCCTCGCCCGGCCGGGCTGGTGGGTGGCAGTGCCACGGGGCTGCTGGCCCTGTCCGGAGCGCTGGCCGCCCAGGCTCAGCTGGCCGCGGCCGCCAAGGAGGACCGGGCAGGCGTGGAGGCCGAGGGGTCCAGAGGTGAGTGGGCAGCGCAGGGTGGCACTGGCCGGGGTACACGGTGGGGCACCAGACTCAGATCTAAGTGTGAGGGGATGAATGAGGGGGGCTGCGGGGCCGTGGGGGTCAACTTTGCTCCACTGGCTGTGTGTCGTTGGGCAAGCCGCTGCCCCTCTCTGGGCATCTATCTGGATGGTGCGGAGAAGGGATAATCCACTCTTTGCGAGAAGGGAGATTCTGAGCTGGGAAGAGGGCTTTACAAACTGTGGAGGGCGGTACCCTCTGGCACCATGAGACAAGCAACCCTCATTCTTTTCCTTCTGTCTCTCTTTTCCTCACTTCCAACCCTCCAGTGGAGAGAGCCCCGAGCCGGGTAAGTTGAGGGGCATCCGGGACTTGTGTGACATTTGCTTTGTATCCGCATGTGGCCGAAGCTGCTTGTTCTGAGCTGATGGGGGCCTGGGGCGGAGACCCACATCCCGCTTTCAAACTGTGCCGCCCAGAGCCTTTTGGTGCGGGAGATGCACATAAGGCTCGCGTTTTATTTATTTACATGTTTCAATCTTGGAGCTCTTTTTGCAACTGAATAAATGCATGCATGCCCGTGGTAGCATTCCATCCGTCCTTCGCTTCAATACTGTTACCTACGAGAGCGCTGCCCGATAGAAATGTGATGTGAGCCCTGTATGTAATTTTTTAAAAAGTGTTTAATTTTGAAATAATTGTAGATGCACAGGAGGTTGCAAAGAAATGCACAGGGAGGTCCCTGCACCCTTGGCCCAGCTGCCCCCCAAAGATAACATCTTGTGAAACTAAAATACAGTATCCCATGCAGGAAGCTGACGTGGGTACCACCCACGGAGCTTATGCAGACTGCACAGTTCTACACAGGTGCATTGTTCGTGACTGTGTGCACACGTGCGTGTGCGTGTGTGTGCATGTGTGTGCATGTGTGGTTCTGTGCAGTTTCCTCCTGTGTTCGGGCTTGCGTAAACACCACCACAATCTCCAGGCAGTGGTAAATTTTCTAGTAGCCAGGTTACAAACAGTGGAACAGGTGAACTGAATTTCCATAGTCTGTTTTATTTGACACAATGTATCCAAATATTTCAACCTGTCCTCAACCTAAAACATGATTAAGGAGAGAGTTTACATTCTTTTTCTTGTACTAAGTCTCCAAGGTCCGAATGTGTTTTGCACTTAGAGCTCATCTCAACTTGCAATAGTGCCACCTGGGGACCCTGGGCCATGTCTGGGGACATCTGTGGTTGTCACACTGGGGGTGCTCCTGGCATCGCGTGGGTGGGGCCAGGGATGCTGCTCCACCCCCAGAGTGCCCAGGACGGCCCCACACAGAGAATGACCCGGCCCCCACGTCCAGTGCCGAGGGGGAGACCCTGGTATATAATAGGTGTTTCTGCATTTATCTGTACAGAAATGGGCTCTTTCCTATAGAAATAACAGCGCTCGCTGTGTGCCGGGCACCACTTCAGCTAAGCGGTCCATAGCTCTTACGTCGTGTATCTTCCCAGCGACCCTAGGAGGTCGGCACTATTATGATCCCCATTTTACAGATGAGGATGCTGAGACAGAGAGAGGTTAAGTGACTTGCCCGGGGTCCTGACCCTTCCTCCCGCCCGGCCCCGTCTCTCTGCAGAGCGCGTCCCCCTCGCCCCCTGAGAGTGTGGCGGAGGAGGAGCAGCCGGGCGGCCCCGGCGGCGACGGGAAGCAGAGGGCCGAGGAGAGGGATCTGTCGGGACCTTATGTGAGCGAGGGGCAAGGGAGGACTGGGGTGGGCACGCCTGGCCTAGACCTGCCCCTGGTCCTGCCCCTCGGAGCCTCCCAGAGCCCAGCTCTGCCCACGACTCTCTCCCTCCAGAGCCTTCCATAGCTCCCTATGGCTCATGGAGCACTGGCCAATCAGCAGAGACCTTCCTCTGGGGCCTGGCTTAACTCTTTATTTTCTCTAAGTCTCCGGAGCCTCTGGACCACGCATCCATTTTCCCACCACCTGGCTTTTGCTCCGGCTGTTCCCTCCCCCTAGAACCCTTTCCCCCTGCCTCTCAGAAACCAGTTTCCCCATCAAGGCACAAAATGCTCCCTCCTGCAGGAAGCCTTCCCCGACCCCCTCCTTGGGGGCCGGGACCTCGTCTCTCATTGTCAGAGCGATTCCTGCGCCTGTCCTTTCAAATTCTGGCGTCCCAGGGGCCAGGCTGAGAGTGAGGCCGGGACGGTGGCCAGCTGGGGGGCATTTGTCTGTCTAGAGGGGCAGCTGGGGCCGTCTGTGGAGGTGGCCTCCGGGCTGCAACCTTTGGTCTTCTCTTGGTTTCCAGCCAAACCAGAGGGCAGCCCAACATGTCAGTGTTTGCCCCGAGGACAATGGGGAGCCATAGAAGGCTGTAGAGCAGATGTGGGCGTGGGTCTTAGGAAAATCTCCCTGGGGCAAGCTTGGAGGGCTACCTGGAGGGGACAAGGCTGCAGGCCAGGAGCCCAAGGAGGGGGTAGGTCCGTGCTGGGGCTGTGGGGATGGGTGGTGGGCAGACTGGCGGGTGAGACGGACAATCTTGAGAGGTTGATGGCTCTGTGGGGCTACAGCCAGGAGGGAGGTGCGGATGACTCCTGGTCTCTGGCTCTTCACCCACTGCACAGAGGAGGAAACTGAGGCCGGGAAGGGCTGGGGGGCGCTCAGATCCCTCTCCATCGTCCTTCTCCATGAGGGACCCACCTTCCTTCTGAACCAAGCAGATGGGCCCAGAATCCTCGGGCCGGCTGGGTGTCCGCTCCCCGTCCCCAGGGGATGTCGGGGGGCATGGAGGCAGGGGCACGGCCAGGGCGAGCTCTCTCCCCATGTCCCCCCAGGAGAGCGACGAAGACAAGAGCGATTACAACCTGGTGGTGGATGAGGTGAGTTGGGTCCGGCCTCCTCCCCCTCTGGCCCCCGGGACTCGGAGGTCCAGGCATAGGGCAAGCGGTGGGTTTTCCGGAGCGTGGGGGCCCAGAGGGAGCTAGGGCCCTGGTCCCCTCTCTGCGGGATGGTGGGACGGGGATGGCGTGGGGCTGGGGGAGTAGGGGATCCCAGGACCCCTCGGGCCCACCTGCTCTCCATAGCACGGGTGGGGAGACTGAGGCCCAGGGAACACTGGAGATGGCAGCAGAAGTGGCTTCAAGCCCTGGCTCACTGCATGAATTTGGGGGAGTGACGCTCCCTTCCTCTGCCTCAGTTTCCCTGTCTGTTCAATGGGGGAAAACAAAACCGAGCCCTTGTAGAGTTGTTGCGACGTGTGTTTATGGAGTCGTGTCCTTTCATTAAACCCATTTTACAGATGAGTAAACTGAGGCCCAGGGAAGTCTCATAATCCCCCCAAGGTGGGTCATAGGTGCCCAGTCTAGAGGTTGGGAGGGGCACAGAGAGGAGCTCTCCTTCCTCACCCGCTTCACCCCCACTCAACGTCACCTCCTTGAACCCAGGACCAACCGTCGGAGCCCCCCAGCCCTGCCACCACGCCCTGCGGAAAGGCGCCCATCTGCGTCCCCGCCCGTCGGGAACTTGTGGACAGTCCGGCCTCCTTGGCCTCCAGCCTTGGCTCACCGCTCTCAAGAGCCAAGGAGCTTATCCTGGTAAGGAGTAGGGGAGGCCTTGAAACTCACTTTATTCATCCCGGGGCGGTGGGGGGGGGCCTGGAAACAGATGCCGCCACATTGGATGCAGGGTCCAGGAGAAATCAGCCAGGCTGGTGTGGTCCAGCCTTCCCTTCTTGATGATTTTCCCGCCTTCCTAAACACCACCTCTCCTTTATTCCGTCATTTTCCCTAAATCACTCACTCTGTTGCACCTGAACAATTATCAAAAGGCAACTTTGTAAATAAGCTTTGTAAATAGTATATTAAAAGGCAAATCACCATCTTAGAGGGAAACCAATATCTCTTGCAATAAATAGGAAATCCCATGGAAATAAACATGGCGAGACTTTAGAATTGGCATCTCGGAGGCTGACTCCAGCCCTGCAAGTGTTAAGGCCTTTGGGAGGCATTAGAGACACACCAGCCCCAACCTGAGATGTTGTCCCCGCAAGAGAAGATGATTAATATGGGGACAACTTTCCGATGTTTAATGCCAGGTGCGGGGACTGCCTGAAAGCCCTAGGGCATCCGCAATTTGGCTGCGTTTGTCCCTGCCCTCCCCCAGCCCCCCAGATCTCCCCCAGACCCCTGCCCCGCACTTCCCCAGGAGTCTGCGTCAGTTTCTAGGCCTCCCCTCCCAGCAGGTTGCTATGGCAACCGCCAAGGTTGGGGCTCCCATTGATCCCAGTGCCCTCCTCCCACTCCAAGGAGACGGGGAGGGGGAGGGCGGCTCTGTGCTAGTGGAGAAGCCCCCGGAAGGACCCCCTGCCCCCGTGTTGTCCCCGTCCTCTCCCTCTCGTGGGTGTGCGATGGTGGCTGTCACAGAACGTGTGATTGTATAATGGAAAGATGGGAGGCATCTGACATCTGACGAGGATGTGAAGTTTCTTGCAAGGCGAAGGGGGTGATGGCAGAGAGCCCAGAGGACAGAGGCGCCCCTGCATGGAGGTCCGCTTCCCCTCTCCTCGAGTGTCCCCGTGGGGAGGGACGGCTGTGGGGGACACCCCCTCCCTGTGGGGGAAGGAGGCGCCGCCCGGACTAGACACTATTCCTGCATCTGGGAGCCGGCTGTGTGGTCTCCTGGTTCTTGGGCCCATCCCAGAGTTCCCTATTCCTTGTCCCCAAAGGGTGTGACAGCCGCCAACTTTGTTGCCACCATATTTGTGCCCTGGCTGTGGGTCCACCTCACACCATCCTGTCTACACGCACATTCCTGGCTGTGTCTCTGCACTGCATACCTTCTCATATGCATGCACGGTTCTCACAAGAGATGTGTGTGTCGGTTCCCTTCGGCGTGCATGCGTGTGTGCCCCCGTGGGCACATGCCACGTGCCGTTCCCGCTCAGGTGCCCGCCCGGCATTCCGATGTGTTCACACTCCGTGTCCCCCGTGCCCCGGGGATCAGCTGTGGGCCTGTTCCCCCAGCGCGTGCGCACCTGCAGTCACAGGGGTGCACTGCTGAGGGGTGCAGGCCCCCCAGGAGCCCTGGCCACCCTCAGGTGTCCCTGCTGCCTTCTCCCATCCTCCTCCGGGCCAGATCCTTAGGCTGCAAGACGCCAGGTGCCAGGTGGTGCTCAGCCCTGCCCTTTCTCCCCAGAACGATCTTCCCGCCAGCACTCCCGCCTCCAAGTCCTGCGACTCCTCCCCGCCCCAGGACGCGTCCACCCCGGGGCCCAGCTCCGCCAGTCACCTCCGCCAGCTCGCTGCCAAGCCAGCGCCTTCCGTGGACAGTATTGGTGAGCGCCCGCTGGTGCCTGGCGGAGGGGGTCTCCTCCCTGGGGGTTCTGGAGATGGCAGGGGGTTAGGGAGGCAGGAGGTTTGGATTCCAGCCCGGGCACCGGAAAGACAAGCTTAAGAGACAGGCTGGGGTGTGAGGCCAGCCTTAGATACTCACTGGCTGTGTGACCTTGGGGAAGTGCCTCAAGCTCTCTGAGCCTCAGTTTCCTCCTCGTTAATATAGGGTGACACTGTTCTTCGTTTCTGTCTTATGGTCAGGTTTTCTGCTGGTTCTGGGGTCCCAGAAAGAAATCAGCCCTGGGATTTGCCCTCAAGGAGCTCCCAGATGGCAGGGGAGGAGACTCAGATCCCAATACTCCAGGCCCTGTGTGGTCAGGGCTGGGGTAGAGGGAGGGACCCAAAATGGGCAAGATTGGAGGCCAGGGGTGGGGTGAGTAGGCTCAAGGATGTTCCTGAGATGTTGTCAGACGTTGGGTCTGGGTTTTGAAGGATGCCTAGGAGTTTGGCAATTGGAGGAGGAAAAAGAAAGACCTGTCAGCCAGAGGGAACAACATTTGTAAATGTCTGGAGATAAGACAGGGTATGTGGATGCTGGACCAGAGCATGGGAGCCCTGAATGACAGGCCAGGGAGCTGGCACCGTGCCCCCAAGGCAGTGGAAGGCAGGGTTTAAGGTGTCTGAACACCTGTCTGTTTCTCTTCTCACCCAGGCCTGAGGAGCCCCCTAACTCTGTCCAGTCCCTTCACCACCTCCTTCAGCCTGGGGTCCCACAGCGCTCTTAACGGGGACCTCTCTCTGCCCAGCTCCTATGTCAGTCTCCACCTGTCCCCTCAAGTCAGCGGCTCTGTGGTGTATGGACGCTCCCCCATGGTGAGTCCTTGTGGTGGGAGATGCCAGGAGGTGTCAGCAGGGCCCGGGGCGGGGGGCCGGGAGGAGAAACCAGTCATACAAGGAGAAACAAGGGAATGGGGAAAGGGAGGGGAGTCCTGGGCTTGGCAAGTGTGTGTGGGAAGACGATCTGAGGGTCTCAGTGGCTCCACAAGCTTAACACAGATCAGCACCTGTGACTGGAAAAAGCAACTGTGATTATGCTGCATTAAGAGCAACAGAGAGCCCCAGCCATGGGAGGTGAGGGTCGCATGAAGAGGAGGTGAAGAAATAAGGCATGAGACCCCCGAGCTGGGCTAGCAGGAGCAGACAGGGTCTGCGTGGGCCCCCGAGGACAGGACTGGGACAGATGGCTGATAGAGTGCGCCGTCCTGAAGTGGCTCAAGGTGCCTCCAGAGGGAATAAAATGCCCGTCACTGGAGATATCCCTGGCCCCGGGCTGGGTGTGCACTTTTGAGGGCTGTTGTAGAAAAGGAATCAGCCAGTATTTTCTGTAAAGGGCCAGACGGTAAATATTTTTGGGTTTGCAGACCAGCCGGTCTCTGTCACAACTCTCCACTGTGCCTTTATAGCTCAAAAGCCCCCATAGACAACATTTAAACGAATGAGTGTGGCGCTGCGTGCCAATAAAACTTTATTTACAAAAACAAGCAGGGGGCCGTAGTTTGCCGACCCCTGTTCTGAACCTTGGACGGAAGAAGCTTCAGGATCCGTCCACCTCTGGGGCTCTAGGATTCCCTGGACAGAGACCAGCCTCCACTCTCCCATCTGTAGTATGGGTAAAGGAGAGGGCATCTCCGCTTTCCTGGGTGGGGGGCTGATAAACAGATTTGGGGGGCCTCTGATAAACAGAGATGGATGTGGCAGATGAGCATGGGAGAGGGCAGACGTGGCTTTGAGTCACCTGCCCTGTGACTCCCCCTTTGGCATCTTGGCAGATGGCATTTGAGTCCCATCCCCATCTCCGCGGGTCGTCCATCTCGTCCTCCCTGCCCAGCATCCCTGGGGGAAAGCCGTGAGTTCCGGGGTGGGGCTCACACTGTGGGGGGGGGGAGGGTGGGTCCCTGCTGCCTTTCCAGAAAGTCTCTTCTGTAAGGTAATCTAAGAGAGAGAGAGGTATGTGACAAGCCAAGTCGAGACCAGTGGTTCCCAACAGGGGTCGATTTTGCCCCCCAGAAGTCCTTTGGTGATATTTTTGGTTGTCACACCCAGATGCTTCTAGCCTCTAGTGGGTGGGGGCCAGGGATGCTGCTCAACGCCCCCCACCAGTGCCTAGGACGGCCCCCTACAATGACCTGCCCCAAGTATCCGCAGAACTTTCCGCCGTGATGGGAATGTTCTGCACCTACTGCTGTCCAGTCTGATTGCCATCAGCCACGCGTGGCCTTTGAGCCCTTGAAGTGTGGCCCATGGAGCAAAAGCCCTGGGAAGTTGATTTATTTGAATTAGCTGGGCAGTGTGGCTGGGGGCACTGCGGGCCGCGTGCTCTGGAACTCTCAGGGCATCCTCGTGGACAAATGTGTGCGCAGTGCCTGGGGGCCAGGCACCAGGCCACGGCCTGGCCCGCGCCTCTTTGTACCACGCTGGCTGTCCCAGGTCACCCCAGATCGTGGGTCCCCTCCCTAAGGCGTGGCCCCTCCTGCCCTGGTGGGCCACCGCCGCGCTGTCGCCCCCGCCAGGGCCTACTCCTTCCACGTGTCTGCGGACGGGCAGATGCAGCCGGTGCCCTTCCCGTCGGACGCGCTGGTGGGCGCGGGCATCCCGCGGCACGCGCGGCAGCTGCACACGCTGGCGCACGGCGAGGTGGTCTGCGCCGTCACCATCAGCGGCTCCACGCAGCACGTCTACACCGGCGGCAAGGGCTGCGTGAAGGTGTGGGACGTGGGCCAGCCCGGCGCCAAGACGCCGGTGGCCCAGCTCGACTGCCTGGTGAGGGCGCGGCCTGGGGGCGGGGCTGGCGGGCCTGGGGCGGGGCTTAGAGGCCAATGGGGGTGGGGCTTGTAGTCCAACAGAGGTGGTGCTTGTGGCCAACCAAGGGCGGGGCTTATAGGTCAAAGGGTGTGGGGCTTGTAGGCTAATAGGGTGGGAGTACAGGACAATCAGGGGCGGGGCTTATAGTCCACCAGGGGTGGGGATTGCAGGCCTATGGGGTGGAATTTATAGGCCAACGGGGCAGGGCTTATAGGTCAAGGGGGTGGGGCTTATAGACGAGCAGAGGTGGGGCTTATAGGCCAATGGGGTGGGAATATAGGACAACCAGGGGTGGGGCTTATAGGCCAATGAGAGTGGAGCTTTTAGCCCAACAGGGGCGTGGCTTATAGGCCAATGGGGCGGGACTTATAGGCCAGTGGGCTGGAGCTTATAGCCCAACAGGGGCAGGACTTATAGGAACAGGAGGCGGGGTTTATAGTCCAATGGGGTGGGGCTTGTTGGATAACAGGGGCGGGGCTTACAGGCCACCGCGGGGTGGGGTGAGGTTTCTCTGGCTGGGCTCCTGGAGGCACAGCTGGGGGCCAAGACCACGCCCTCGCCTCCCTCCCGTCCCAGAACCGGGACAACTACATCCGCTCCTGCAAGCTGCTGCCGGACGGCCGGAGTCTGATCGTGGGCGGCGAGGCCAGCACCCTGTCCATTTGGGACCTGGCGGCGCCCACCCCCCGCATCAAGGCCGAGCTGACCTCCTCGGCCCCCGCCTGCTACGCCCTGGCCGTCAGCCCGGACGCCAAGGTCTGCTTCTCCTGCTGCAGCGACGGCAACATCGTGGTCTGGGACCTGCAGAACCAGACCATGGTCAGGTGGGTGGCGGGGCCCTGAGACCTTGGGCGAGCCCCGCCCCCTCCCCTTTTGGGCGGTGGGGGCGGAGGAGTGGCCTGGGGGGACGCTGGAGCAGCGCCACCTCCAGGATGGACGCCTGGGCGCCTGTCCCCGCAGGCAGTTCCAGGGCCACACGGATGGTGCCAGCTGCATCGACATTTCGGACTACGGCACTCGGCTCTGGACCGGGGGCCTGGACAACACCGTGCGCTGCTGGGACCTGCGGGAGGGCCGCCAGCTTCAGCAGCATGACTTCACCTCCCAGGTGCCCCACGGGGTCTGGGGGAGGGGGACAGAAGCTCCAGGATTCCTGCTCCCTTCTTCTCCCCTGAGGCCCCCACTTCTGGAAGCCGGGCAGGACCAAGTACTGCTATCCGTGTCCCCCTTGTTGTCCTTCAGACAGATCCTCAGGCCTTCCCCTTCGTTCTACAAATACAGTCACGGGGAAACACAGAGGAGCTGATTTATATGAAGCTGTGGGGCTACTAAGACTCTCAGATCATCTTCCTATGTGCTCTTGCCAAGCCATTCCCCCCTTCTTTTATCTCTCCTTGGGTAGCTGGTTTGTTCTCCCAGCGTTTAATCTCTTGACCCTACTGAGAGCTCCCACCTGCCCCCCCAGGACTCACCATGGGGGAGCCGCAGACCAGGGAGACAGGAAGAGGTTGATGTGAGTCGGGCACAGAGAGTTCTCTGCAGAGGGCTCTGTGGGAGTCCAGGCTGAAGGATGTGATGAAGGGGTTGGAGAGAACCAGGGGGCTCCTCATGGGTGAGCAGAGTCAAGGCCTAGACCCAGACCTTTCAACTGCCTTGGGGGCAGGGTGTGAGCTCCTTGGCCTGTCATTTAAGGCCTCCACGCTCTAGTCTCATATGCACCACGCCCTGTGACATCTCTAGACCTCCCCACTTATTGTGCCCTCTGGCTGACATGCCTTTCCCTTCCTTTTTCCAATTGGCAAACTCCTGTTCATCCTTCAAAACCCATCTCCAATTTGCCCCATCCTTGAAGCCTGAAGGGAGCTAGCTCCCAAACTCTTTCTGTTTTACCTTCTCTTCTCTTTAGCTTGAAAATTTCTTTGATGAGGAAATCAGCAGTGCACATGGATACAGTTGTCCATTGCCTGTCCCCAAAACTTAGATAGGATGTGTATATATCTGAGGAGCCCATTGTGAATCTCTCCCATCCCACCGGGCCCCCCGTCTTTATACACAAGCACTTCTACGGGGCCAGGAGAGAACATGTGAAACCTTCCCGCCTTCTCTCTGCTGTAAATTTATAGTTCTCTCCACACGTGTCTTCTGGGTCAGTAAGACTTCGAGAAGTTTAGGATGGAAGAGGGCCTTATTCCTTTTCGTGCCTCGCTTGGGCTGGGGCACAGAATGATGAGGCCTTTCAAATCATAGTAAAAAGAGGTGTCGGCGAATGGGGAAAGTTCCAGGCTGGGAGTCCCACGGTCTGCCCGTTCAGACTTGCTGTGCGACCATGAGCAGGACGTGGCCTCAGTTTCCCTTAAACCGTCTGCTCAAGGGGAGTGACCGTCCTCGCCCGGCTTCTCCCTCCTCCCCTTCTCCCTCCCCGGAGCTGTTGTGCGTTCGGAGCAGATAACGGAAGCAAGGCCCCGGGTTCCGTGTGATTCTGATTCGTGTTAATGATGCGACACGCGCTTGCCCGCTGCGTTGTGGGCCCGGGGCCGGCTGCCTCTCGACGATGTGGGGGCTGCAGGGGAGAGCGCTGGACCTCTCCCATCCCCAGTATCCCCCAAATGCCCAAGGGGGTTTCTGACCTCCCCTCTTCCCCCCAGATTTTTTCCCTGGGCCACTGCCCCAACCAGGACTGGCTGGCCGTGGGCATGGAGAGCAGCAACGTGGAGATCCTGCACGTCCGCAAGCCGGAGAAGTACCAGCTCCACCTCCACGAGAGCTGCGTGCTCTCCCTCAAGTTCGCCTCCTGCGGTGCGTCTGCCGGGCTGCGGCGGGGCCCCGGGGCCCTGAAACACCAGCAAAACCGGCAGAAAACCCCACACGACAGCAGACAGGGCACCCGGTTACTCTGAATCTTAGATAAACGACACATCATTTGTTGGCATAAGAGCATCCCAAACAGTGTGTGGGACGTACTTATACTAAAAAACAACTAATTTGTTAGTACAGATGTAGCCCAAATATTGCTTGGGATAGACTTAAGCTAAAGAGGATTTTTTTTAGTATAAGTGTATCTCATACTTGAGCATAAGTATAGCCCAAACTTTAGTATAAGTATGTCCCATACTTTAGGATAAGTATGTCTCAAGTATTGCATGGGCTGTACGTATACTACAAAAAAAAAATAATCATGAAATGCTTGGGACGTGTCTGTACTAAGATGATTTGTGGTTTATCTGAGGTTCAGATGTAACTGGGCACCCCATATTTTAGCTGGCAACCCTCTCCTGGGGCTCTCCCTTCATGAAAGCCAGATGGAGCCCCCAGGGGCCTTGATGTCACCGTCTGGAGAATGGGGGAAGGATGGGGCCTCAGTTCTCTAAGGGGCCTCGTGTCCCCCAAATGAGGGCAGAGGTGCCTGAGGGGAGGAGGCCAGCCCGGCGTGTCCCACGTTGGCCCGCAACCCCGGGGCTTCCTTCCTCCCCTGGACGCTCCGGCTCTCCTCCCCCAGGGCGGTGGTTCGTGAGCACGGGCAAAGACAACCTGCTGAACGCCTGGAGGACGCCGTACGGAGCCAGCATCTTCCAGGTACGTGGCGGTCGGGGCCCCCACCCCGGAGGGGCGCCCTGTGCCCAGGGGCCTGGGTCCTGCACTGCTGTTAAGAGAGGAGCCTCCCCGGGTCCTCCAAGCCACTCCCCCACCCCCCCCAGACAGGAGCTACTAAAGCAGGGTTGGCGCACTTAACGCCGCCACATCTGTGCACAGCCTGTTTTTGTTTAAATTGCGGTAAAATACGTATAAACATAAAATTTACCATCTTACCATTTTAAGGGCACAGCTCAGCGGCATGAAGCACATTCACACTGTTGTGCAACCATCCCCACCATCCGTCTCCAGAACTTTCTCATCCTCCCAAACTGAGACTCTGTCCCCATGAAGCACTGACTCCCCTCCCCTCCCCCAGCCCCTGGCCCCACCATCCACTTTCTGTGTCTGTGGATGTGACTCCACTAGGGGCCTCCTGTGAGGGGATGACACAGTGTCTGTCCTTCTGTGTCTGGCTCATGTCACTGAGTGTCATGTCCCCAAGGTCCATCCACGTTGGAGCAGGTGTCAGGATCTCCTTCCTTTTCATGGCTGAGTAATATTCCAGCGTGTGGATGGACACATTGTGTTTATCCATCATCCGTCCTTGGACACTTGGGGTGTTTCCACCTCTTGGCTACTGTGAATCATGCTGCCATGAGCATCTGTGTACAAGTTTTTGTGTGGACACACATTTTCATTTCTCCCGGGCAGATATCTCAGACTGGAATTGCTGATAACCGTTAATCTTTGGAGGACCTACCAGACTGTTTTGCAAATTTTCCTTTCCCACCAGCAATGTGTGAGGGTTCAAAATTCTCCCCATCCTCACCAATCCTTGTTATGGTGTCTTTTATATTATAGCCATCCTGGTGGGTGTGGAACATTTTTACATTTCTAAAGAGTTGTTAAAAAAAAAGGAAAGGGGCAGTATGTGACCTAGATTTATTTGGTTTCTGGACTTATTGGCCAGATTTTGGACTTTAGGCAAAGCCTAAAAATTTACCATCAGCCTTTACAGAAACAGTTGGCTGAGCCCGGGCGTAGCTCATCGTGCTGTGAGCCTCGGCCCTCTGCTGTGCTGTGTGGCCTCGTGCCGGGTGCTCACCCTCTCTGAGCTTCCCAGGAAAGGGCAGCGCTCCAGGTCCATCTCTCTTGGTGTCCAGAGAACGGAGGTCCCGCCCTTTCCAGGAGCATCATCATCTTTCTAGAAACGCTTAGCTTCAAAGAACCTTTCTCTGGAAAACACGTCGCCCTCCTTTCTCTGCTGAGTCCTGGCTCCCCACTCGGTGCCCCCATCCTGAGTCCTGTCCCTGCCCAGCCTCGACCATAGACCCGTCCCTGGGGGCAGGTGGCGGCCCGATGGACCCGCCTCCTCCCTCTGAACGTGGTGCACCATCGGCGGCCCCTCACCTCTCCCTGTCTCCCCCTCCCCTCTGTCCCCGTCCACAGTCCAAGGAGTCGTCCTCGGTGCTGAGTTGCGACATCTCCGGGAACAACAAGTACATCGTGACGGGCTCGGGGGACAAGAAGGCCACCGTGTACGAGGTGGTCTACTGAGACCCCTCCTCCTGCCCCCCTGGCCCGACCCCTGGGGGCGGGGCGTCTGGGACAGAGACCCCATCACCCCCCCCAAGTGGTACCTGGGAGCCCGAAGTCCCGCCTGCCCTCTGGCTGCCCCCACATCCTCCTGCTGGGTGTGGGGCTGGACTGGCAGGAGGCCTTTGGGGAAATAAACCTATTTATCACAACTGCCTTTCCATCCAGGTCTCGGGCCGGGGGACTGGGGACTGCTCAGGCACTGTCACTACGGGAAGGCCGCTTTCTGGCTGTGTGACTGTGAGTGAGTGGCTTCCCCGCCTCTTTTTTCTTCATCTCGACAATTCCTTCCACATGTAGTGTGGAGTCCGCCTTGAGAAACGGGCGTTGTATTGGGCAGTGTGGCTTAAGTTGTGCTGGGTAACAAACAGCCCCAGATCTCAGGGCTGAACACACAGAGGCTTCTTCTTCATGCCCACGGGGCATGCAAGGCTCCCCGCCAGACACTCAGGGCTCAGGATGGTGGAGGTTTTGCCCCCTCAATATGTCACTTCAGGATTCATCGGAGCAGGGGAGATGAGCCGCACGTGGCTGTTAAATCCCTGGTCCCAAAGTGTCACATATCTGTTTTACTGTCATCCCAAGACACACATACCAAGGGTTGGGGAATATAGGGGAGCACATAGGAATTTGGGGTGTCTCCTGTTTCCGTCGAGACCTGGAGATAATTCCTAAGAGCCTGGCGTGTGATTCATGGCCTCACTGTAAGGAGCTGTGCAAATGTCACAGTCCCAGAGGTGACAGCTAAGCCAAGAGCTAAAGGAGAAGAAACAGCCATTGGGAAGGGTCATGAAAGACTCTGCTGGGCACAGAGGGAACAGCATGTCCGAAGGCTCAGAGGCGAGGAGCTTGGCCTGGTGGAAACCAGGAGGGCAGGGCAGGAGCCAGGGCTTACTGGAGAAAGCCATGGAAATGAGCCAGAGGGGGGAGGGGCCGGTGGGAGTGGCCACATAATCAGATTTGGGTTCTGGAAGCTCCCCTGGGCTGCCACGAGGAGCGTGGGTTAGAAGGGGCTGGGGGCCAAGCAGGGGTGCTGTAGGGAACCTTCTGGAAGGAGACGGCAGGGTGGGGGGAGTCCCTGTTGGAAACAGAAGTCACACACAGGTGGAGTTTCTGAAGGCACTTTACGGGGACGGGATAAATCTCCGGTTAAGGAAACTAGACCTGTTGACACCATCTGGGACGGTCCTTGTCCTGGAAGGACAGGGTGAGCGGAGAGTGGCTTTGGAGGGTAGAAGAGAAGCCCGCTCACAAGAGCTACTGCTGTAAACTAGGCCATGCCCCTCAGCACTGTGGACATCAGGGCCGGGTCACCCTCTGTGGGGGGCCATCCTGGGCACTGTGAGGGGTTGAGCAGCATCCCTGGCCCCCACCCACTCGATGCCAGGAGCACCCCCAGTGTGACAGCCACAGATGTCCCCAGACATGGCCCGGTGTCCCCTGGGGGTTAGATTCGCCCCTGGATGAGAAGCCCTGGTCTAACGGGGCAGGTGTCTTGCGAAGGACCGAGAACTTCATCCTGGAATTGTGCAAGACGTGGCTGGAGATCCTCTCTCCGTGAGACAAGGAGAGATCAGCTCAGGGGAGCAGGCAGAGGGGCTCCGTCCCCAGTTCCCCCCAACAGTGGGGGTCAGTGGTTTGATCTGACTCACAGAGAATGTGGACTCAAGTCTCAGAGACCCGGGCTGGACGAAGGCTTTCCAAACCTCGACGGGAGGGCCAGTGGGTGGGGCCAGGCCGCTAACCAGATCAGCTCTGCTTTTTCTAATTGCTTTATTACACTTGACGAAGATCAGGGCCCCAGTCGTGCAAGGCCGGAGAAACCCAGCCCACCCACCACGCCCCTCCACCACCACCCCTCCCATTAGGGGAAAAAGGACAGAGAAAAGGGCCCCGAGTTGGGATGACAGGGCCGAGCCCCTCAGTACGTGATCTGGTACACGGAGGCGTGGTCCCTGGACCCCGTGACGATCAGGCGGTCATTGGGGGACACGTCACAGCACATGACGGAGGAGGTCTCGGGTATCTGGGGGGATCAGGAGCAGAGCAAGGGGGCTCACCCACCCTCGCCCCTAAGCTCTGCCTGTCAGTTCAAATGTGGGCCCTTTGGGGCCATTTGCATCGGGACCCCCCCGCCCTTGGCCCCCTGAGCACACCTGCCCCACCCTGGTACCTGGAACACCACGGTCCCCATGGGCATGCTGCAGATGCTAACCAGGTCGTCCATCCCGACGCTCACCCACCACTGGCCTGGAAGGAGGCAGAGGGCACTGCGTCACAGGGGAAAGCTGGCAGCTGAGGGCCAGACCCCTGGGGATCTGGGACACGGAGGGAGCCCCCCACCCCCCTCCTACATCGCTGATGAAGGGAGTGGGGGTACTCAGGAGGGTCAGAAAGGGCAGGGCAGAGTCTGAGTGGGGCGGGGCCCTGTGGGAGGCTGGGGGCCCCTGGGGACTGCCCTCGCCCCACCCAGCCACTCACCGAGGGGCGAGAACTTGACACCCAGGATGGTGCCATCCTTACACCCCACCAGCTGCCTCTGGCCCCCACGGGTGGGCTGCAGCCACTGCTGGCCGTTGGCCATGCCCACCAGCACCCAGTCCTGCCGGGGGCTGGGGGACAGGCTCATTATCTGGGGGTAGGCGGCACAGAGGAACCTGCTCAGGGTCTCATCCAGCCCGGGAGGTAGGCAGGAACACAGGGACCCACCCTGGGGGCCCAACAAACAACTTCACATGTTGAGGCCTCAGTCTGCCCATCTGTCAAATGGGCATGGTCCTCTCTACCCTAAGGGATGACCACAGACTAAATGGGCTACCGGACCCTGGTACCAAGTATGAAAGAATCCCTATTCGGGTAACAGGGAACATTTCTAATGACCTCCTATTCCTCCCAGCATCCCTGGAACTTGGGGTACCACTACCCCCAGCTCTTCCACCAACATCCACCTCCTTCTCTAGTCCGAGGACCAGCCGCTACCCGGCCATGCAGGCCCCATCCCAGCCTGCACACCTGGGACTCGAATGGGTACTCCTGGGGCTCCCCGGCGGCCCGCAGGTCCCGGCACCGCAGACAGGCGTCCAGACCACCCGTCCAGACGTTCTGGTCTTTGATAGCGATACTCTTCGCTCCATTCGGGTGGCCTGGCAGGTCTCTGGACAGGAGGGGGTCGGGGCTGAGACTCTGAGCTCTGGGCATCAGAAACACCACCCGCCCAACCACAGCTCGTTGACAGGGAAACTGAGGCAGGCAAAAAGTCCAGACGGAAGCAGCCCAGCCAAGATTTGAACCCGAGTCTTTGACTCGCTCAAAAGTGAATTCCAGCAGGCTAGAGGGCTTTGGCGTCCAGACTGCCAGAGCCCTGTCTAGGGGATGAGGCAGGTGCGGGCTCTTGGGGTGACCTTGCCTACCCCCTGACCGCACCTGACCACACTCTGGTCCCGCAGGTCCCAGATCCTGACGGTGCCGTTGGTGAAGCTGGCGAAGGCCAGGCTGTCGGCAGGGTTGGCAGCCAGGGCCTGGCAGGTGAGACCCGGACAGGGCAGCTCATCCTTCACATGCAGGGAGGGTGCCGTCAGGTCCCACACACTCACACCAGCCAGGTGGTGGCCGCCCGTCAATAGGGTCGTGCTGTTGGAGAACAGCAGGCAGGTACGCAGGTAGGCTCCCTGGGTCTAGGATGGGCAGAGGCGCAGGTGAGGTCCTGCGCCAACAAGCCCCACCCCTGAAATAGCACCTTCCCCAGGGAGCAGCCCTGCTCCCAAGCACCGCCCCAGGAGGAAGCCCCGCCCCTGAGGAGTCAGCCCTGTTCCCAAGCTCCGCCCCCGATAGCCCCACCCACCAAAGAGCAGGCCCCGCCCCTGGGAGAAAGCCCCACCTCCCTGGGAGAAAGCCCCACCCCCATGAGGCAGCCCTGCTCCCAGGCCCCGCCCCCTGGGAGCCAAGGTGCAGGCGGGCGGTC